CCCCCTCCCTCCCCCTCCCCCTCCCCCTCCCCCTCCCCCTCCTCCTCCTCCTCCTCCTCCATGGGGAGCCCGCTGCCTGCTTGCCTCCAGGGTGCCCCGGGTTTCTTGGGTGTCGATGCCTCTGCGGTGGAGAGCGTGGCGCCCCCACGCCGAGTATTCGGTGCACGTCCCGGGGTCTCAGGGCTGGGTGTGTCTTGTGGAAGGTTTCTCGTGGACTGGCCTCCGCTGTACCCACTGCTCCCTGGCCGGGCCCATCCTGAAGCCCAGGAGCCGTGTGCACGCCCTCCTGGCCCAGCCACGGCGGCCGTGGCGCGCACACCGCTGCTGGGTTTAGTATGGGCCTGGCCGGGGAGCAGTGGATCTGTATAGCTCTCGCCGCCCGATTCGAGGACAGGAAGACAAGGATTTAGGCAACGTGGATCGGCGACAGGTCTTATGATGCTCCAACCTACTTTCGCCTTGGCCACCAGGAAGAATTCCGAGCACCAAGAGAATGTACCGAAACTCGGGGGTTGTCACGCGTCGGGCCCTTGGAGGCGATGCTCACTCGACACCTGTTCGATCCATTTTGTTTCCTGGGTGCTCGATCTACAGTCGGGGCCCTGAAGAAGGAACCCTTTTGGTTGGGGAGGGGCTCCGCGTTCCTGAAGTGTTTCGCAGCTTGCCTCAGGTTTTCCTTATGTTTTCGATCGGAAATCGAAGTTTAACATATGGAGAAAAAGGGGCCTCGTTCCTTATTTAGGGTTCCTTAGGTCAACGCCCCGACTGTAATATGTTTTGGGGCTGCGGTCCTCAGGGTACGAGGGGGGCAGCACGAGACGGGTCCCGCTTCCATGCGAGATCGGCGCGCTCCGTCGCTCCAATCCTCCAATTCTCCTCCTCCTCCTGCTCCTCCTCCTCCTCCTCCTCCTGCTCCCCCTCCTCTGACCTCCTCCTCCTCCTCCTCCTCCTCCTCCTCCTCCTCCTCTATCTCCTCCTCCGCCTCCTCTCCTGCTCCTCCTCCTCATCCTCCTCTCCTCCTCCTCCTCCTCTCCTCCTCCTCCTCCTCCTCCTCCTCCTCCTCCTCCTCCTCCTCCTCCTCCTCCTCCTCCTCCTCCTCCCCTCGGCGCGCCCCGTCGCTCCAACGGAAACGAACACAGGGCGGCGTGGGCCCCACGCTGCGGCGGGTGCCTGCCCCGAGGCGCGGAGCAGGGCGCCCCCACGCGCCGGGGCCAGAGGAAAGAAACATACCCAGTCCGAGCGGGCGCGCGCGCCCGACGGGTGTCCGGGCCTCGCGGGGTCGGATTCAAGCAGTGGCGAAGCGTCCTGGCTCGCCCATAGCCCTGCCAAGCTGTGATCTGAGAGCCGTTTGTGGCTCCCACGAGCTGGTCTTAGACAATTGTTTCAGGCTGGGACTGTCTGGTTTTGTAACACATCGGGTGAATGTTCTAAGAACACTGTTTTTGTTATTCGAACATGTTTGGGTTCTAAGAGCATTTCGTGGTATGACTATAGGAATGCCGGGACGGTCGGACCCTGCTCAAGTACAGTCGGGGCGCTGAAGAAGGAACCCTTGTCGTTGGGGAGGGGTTCGGCGTTCCCTGACTGTTTCGCAGTGTTCCTGAGTTTTTTTCTTAGGTTTTCGATGGGAAGCCGAAGTTCAACTAATGGGACAAAGGGGACTCGTTCCTTATTTAGGGTTCCTTAGGTCAGCGCCCCGACTGTAGCGTGTGCTGAGACCTGCGCGCGAGACGTGCAGCAGTTCGTGCAGGTCAGGGGAGGGGAATACTTGTGGTCGATGTCGTCGTGCGCTGGTACGGCAAGCTGCGTATGGGCCAAGAAGGAGGAGTCCTCGTGTAGTCGATGTCGTCGTGTGTTGGCGGTGCCGCGCCGCCGGGATTGCGGGCCTTCTTCTCAGAAGGCCCCCCAGCCATCTCAGAAGCTTTCATGCGCCTTCTCTGCAGACGCAGACGGCTTCTCGGCTTCTCAGAAGGCTGCAGGGCGTCTGCGAGGCCCCGCCGCCTGCCCAAAAGGCCTGCCCCCCATGGACGGGCCTGCGCCTGGGCCCGCCGAGCCCGAGCTGGAGCACGAGCCCGAGCGGGAGCTTTTTGAGCCCGAGCCCGAGCATGAGCCCTCCTGAGAGGGCCTGCCCCCTCCCCAGACTCCCGGCGTCGCGAGTTTTGTCGCAGCGCCGACCCCCCTCTGCAGACGTCTGGACCCCCTCCCTTGGGAGACCGGTTTTTTGTCCCCAGTCGTGTTCTGACGGCCCCGAGGCCCAGCGAGGGCCCCCAGAGGCCGCACATGGCCAAGCACTTCCCGTCGTGATCTTGCCACATGTCGCGAGGGGGCTGGCGTCTCCCCCCCCCCTCCCAGACATCCACCTGCTCCAGTGTTTTCGACGCGTGGTGCGTGGGCCCCGGAGGTCCAGACCACTTCCCCGGGGCCGGCGTCCCGTCCTGCATCGTCTTTCTTGACGCCCCCGAGGGCCCTCGCCGGGCCCCCAGGCCATAAAAACACTCGCAGGTCCCCGCCGCTCCAAGATCGGTGGGAGCGTCGGATCTCTGGGCCCCCCGGCGGCTCGCCGCCAGCAGGCGGCCGGCGCCGCGGGCGGTGCGCGGCGGGCTCCGGGCGCGGCGCGCTGCTCGACGGCGGGCCGCTTCGCGGCGCTCGGCGGGGCGTCGAGCGGGGCGTCGAGCGGGGCGTCGAGCGGCTCCGAGGGGGGCGGCGCCGAGCCCGACGAGGCGGCGGGCGCTCAACGAGGGAGGGCCTCGCCCTCGAGAGGGGGGTCGCGGATGATGTCTGCCCGACACGCTGGCGAGGTGCCGAAAGAGAAGCGCCCCCCTCCACCCCCTCCTCCCCCTCCTCCTCCTCCTCCTCCTCCTCCTCTTCTCCCCCTCCTCCTCCTCCTCCTCCTCCTCCTCCTCCTCCTCCTCCTTCTCCCCCTCCTCATTCTCCTCCTCCTCCTCCTCCTCCTCCTCCTCCTCCTCTCCTGCTCCTCCTCCTCCTCCTCCTCCTCCTCTCCTCCTCCTCCTCCTCTCCTCCTCCTCCTCCTCCTCCTCCTCCTCCTCCTCCTCCTCCTGTCCCTCCCCCTCCTCCTCCTCCTCCTCCTCCTCCTCCTCCTCCTCCGACACGTGCAAAGCGTCCAGTGCCGATGCTTTCCTGGTGCTCGAAGCTATTGCGGGTGATCCAGGCTAGAGTGGGCTGGAGCATCAAAAGTCGAGAGGCGGATGTGTTTCTTCCTCGGCGGGAGGCGGCGGAAGCCTTCGAAGAAGAAAAGCGCCATAAACATAAGCTTTTGGTCCTCCGCGCGGGTTTCTTGGATCTTCGCTTGGCCCCTCTGGCGGCGCCTCCGGCACCGCCCCCGGCGCGCTCCGCGCTCCATGGAGGGGTGTCCAGCGCAGATCCAAGAAATCCGCGCGGAGCGCCAACGGTTCATGTGTTTACGCCTTGCTTTCTGCTTCGAAGCGTGGCGGAGGGTGGGGGGAGTGGAGGGGAGGCGGCGGGAGGGAGGTGGTCACGGTGCGCCCCCCTGGAGGCGGCAGGGTCTCTCGGCTCCAGGCTTCCGGAGCTGGGCGGGGTGGCGGCCTGCGGCGGTGGCGGGGGAGCGGCGGTGTGTTCGGCGGCTCGCGCGGGTGGCCCTTCGCCGGGTGTGGTGACCTTTGGGTGCGTGGCGTTTTCCGGGGGGCGCGGGGGGCGCCAAGCGCGCGGGCCGCCACCTGTCTCGGGCTGGACGAACAGGCAGGATGGGGAAAGGGGGGTCTCCTTCCCTCTCGAGCCGGACGAACGGGTTTCCCTGCCTTTTTCGCGTGTGGGACACGAGAAGGAAGAGGGGGAACAATAGGGTATGGAGGAGCTACCCTTCCCATCCTTACATTCGTTGCGCAGTCTGCCTTGTCGCCCTCCGTTTCCAAACGATAGGTGGCCTTGACAGCCGCGCAGCACGTTGCTAACAGTTGACCGATCGGCATGCGCGGAGGCGGTGAGGTCGAAGCTTCCGCCAGGCACGGTCGATCTCAGTCTGCGTCGCCATTCTCGTCCCCAAACCTTTCTGACAATTCGAACAAATCGCGCTGGATTTGTTTTGTCTTCGGCCTCCAGGGGCCGTTTTCTGGGCCAAGGGACTGTCAAGGGACGACTCCGCATGAAGAGCGGGCCACGGGGAAGGGATCGAGAGTTCCAGGGGCCACGGATTCACAAAATCGAGCAGTCTGAGGTCTGGGTCCTCCTCGTCATTCTCGGCGACCTCTTTCTCCTCCACTCCGTCCCCGTCTCAATCATCGTCCGAATCGTGCTCATCCTTACTCGGTGCCATCTGGGCTCTGTCGCCCGCTTGCGTACTCGCTTCACCTCAGGCGACCGTCCCCAACTCAGCGCTGTGAGTCGCACAGGAGAACGCTTGATTTATGTCGGGCGTGTCCCCCTACAGGGGGGTTTTCGACGGAAAATATGAAATACCCCCAAAATACACCAAAAAGGTAAAACAATAGTCCAAACATAGTCCCCAGACTATTTTTAGATTATTTTTGATTATGTTTGGTGTATTTTTTTATTTTTCGCCGACAATTCCCCTGTAGGGGGACAGGCCCGACTTAACGCTCGATGGCGAAGCCGTGGGGCCGCTCCGGCACAGAAGCCGCAGAGCCGCCCTCCCAAAGGAGGCGGGCGCAGAGCTGCCGCGGAGACCGCCGGAGGCGCCGCCGCGCGGGGCGCCCCGTCAGCGTCGAGCGGTGCAGTGCTGCAGGGGGCCGTCGAGTCCTACAACGCCACGACGGGCTACGGCTTCGTCAACGCATTTTGGCTCAAGCGATTGCATTTGCCTGGCTACCCCCCTTGCTAGGTATAGATGAGCGCCAACGCTGCTGATGGCCCCTCCTTTGTGGCGGCGGCTGTGCAGGCGGCGATCCGGGAGGGCGCCCCGAGGCGCACTGTTGCTGCTGTGGCTGCGGCGGTTGCTGGCACTGTGATGTCTGCGACTGCTCGGCCCTCCGTGCCAGCGACTATGCACAAGGAGCGCGCTCAGGATGCACAGGGCAAAGCTGAAGACTCCGACGATCCTGTACAATTGTTGGAGAAACTTCGTGCTGTACGCCGTGCCCAACGACTCCGCAAGAAGGAGAAGCGCAGGACAGCCAAGCAGGTGGCTCAAGATGGTCCAGCCTCTCCTATTCTTCCTGATGGCCTTCAGCCTGTCGTTGAAGCCATTCCACCTCCAGCAGGTGCAGCCGGCCCAAGCGCAGACCTCGGGGGAAGTCATGCTGCAGAGCCCGCTCCGGCACTTGCTCTACGTTCAGGCGCTGATTCACCCTCGCAGTCTGAAGGTACCCTCAATTCCCAGCACCCGCTCCCCGAGTCTATTGCTGGGAGTGCAATTGGCGCCAGTTCTTGCCACACACTGGGGCGAGAACCATCAGGGCCACCTGCACGTGCCAAAGATCCTGCACGATCTAGTGCACACCAACAGGGAGCTTCGTCAGGGAAGCCTTCCTTTGGACGTGTTGAGGGCGATGCTGGACCCAAATCTGGCCGGCCTCAGCCTTACCCGGGACGGAAGAAGTAGCCTGCCCCTCTTCCGTTCATGCGGCAGTCCCGACATTGCCGTTTCCATATGTGCTCAGGTATTCTAGTTGGGTGGTTGCATACTTCGAGCAATTCTGCTACGTGTACTTCAAGTTCCTGAGGCAGAGCAACTTCTGAGGGGTGCCCTTTCTTACCTCTTCGGCCACGTTCCAACGTGAGCCCATCTTAGGCCGCGATTGCTGCACCAGGCCTCTAACCAGCCTGACTCGTTTGTTTTTCTTGTGGCTGGGCAGCCCCCAGTCTTTTCCATTTCGCGGCTTCGTCAACGCCAGGGGCCCCCCGGGGTGCTCTGGCGCCGACCTGTGCCTCCAGACTCAGGTCGGGCCCGTCCCTCTCCAGGAGGAGTGTTCCAAAGTAGTCAAACATATAGGGGCGATGTTTCGACTGTTCTTTAGCGTTGATAATATATATATATATATATATATATATATATATATATATATGTGTGTATATATATATGTGTGTATGCATATTTCTCTGATGTATGAAATTGCTGTTGGTTACTTAACTTTTTCCTCCAAGATCCGCCTATGCTTGTATGAGGACATGCCCGACCTAGTTCCAGACCCGGGACCTGAGCCCCGCGCTGCAGCAGCGCGCCGCCGTGCGCGTCGGCATCGCCGGCGCCCCCGTGCAGTTCTGCCTCCAGGTGCTGCGGAGCGGCCAGTGGCGAGCCCGCAACCTCGAGGCGGCCGGTGCAGGCCGCAGGCAGCCGCAGCCAGCGGCCAAGGCCGCCGGCCCCGCCCCCGCGGGCGCGGCGGCGGCGGCGGCGGCCGCCGCCGACGACAGAAGCAGCCGGCACGGCACAGCTGCAGGGCGGCGGCCCGCGTGCACGCCCGCAGGGCGCGGGCGTGCACAGCAGGCACGAGGTGCGGAGGCGCGTGGAGCAGCTGGCCGCGAGGGGCTTCTCGCGGGGGCAGGCGCAGAGGGCCCTGGCGGAGGCTGAGCTCGGATTCAACAGGGCGCTCGACCTGCTGCTTTCCGGGAAGCTCTCGGGCGCCCCCGCCGACGTCGCCGGCTCCACCAGCGGCTCGGCCTCGGTGGAGGCGTCCGAGCCGGCGCCAGAGCCGCCCACCAGGGCGTGCACCGAGTACGAGGGCGCTGGCCGAGAGGCCGCGGGCCTAGGCAAGGCCCAGAGGGTGCTCGCGCGTATGCAGTGCGATTGGGTCTCCGAGGACCCCCGCCAGAGCCAGCTCGACGCGTGCCGCGGGACCCTGGTGTGGCTTTGGCCCAGCACCAAGACAGAGGTTGGCTGGGTGTACGCGGAGCGACTCGACCGCGACCCAGCCCACGCAGGGTGGCTGCCCTTCGATCGGTGCCAGGAGCTGTCGGATGGCCTTTCGTACGCCTACGTTGTCGATCAGGACCTCGCCGCATCGTCTGGATTGGACACCGCCCTCTGCATCGGAGAGGTCGTCTTGACGGATTTCGGCTCCAGCACAGAAGACGGGTCAGCGTACTTCGAGCTGTGCGACGGGAGTCAGGCTGGTCGGTTGCACGCACGTGCGGTCGCGAACGTGCCGGACAGTTACCAGTGGAGGAGTGTGTCACGGGTTTGCGACGCGTCGCAGGGTTCCCAGCTGCCCATCCGAAAAGGCGCCTCCGTGATCGCGCAGGCGGACACCCAGACGAGCGAGGGCTGGGTCCACGCATGGGCCACCGTCGTCCGTCTCAGCTCGGGTGTTGCCAGAGAAGTGCCCCTGGCCCGAGGTGCCCCCAGGTTTTCTCTGTCAGGACAACCCCCCCTTGGCCACCTGCCCGACCCCCAGCAGATCGCGACCAAAATCCCGACGGGAAGTTCTCGGCAGTTCATCGGGCACCTCGTAGCCCCCCCTGGGAGGAAAGGACAGACACACATACACAAACACAGCAAAACGCCGCTCCCCAGGAACACTTGACACAGGTGGAAAGTGGATGGGTAAGACGACGATCTAGAAAGCATGGAAACATCTTCGTAATCTTGGATTCGTGTCTATCTGGCGGCGAGCGAGGGGGGAAGTGAGAGGGGGCAGGCCGTTTCAGAAGGCTCGGAAGCGCCCTGGCCTCCTGAGAAGTTTCCGAAGCCTTCCCCGAAGACGCAAGCAACTTCTCAGAAGGCGCGAGGGCTTCTGAGAAGTCCCGCCGCCTTCTGAGAATCAGGCCTTCTCCTTCTCGCTTCCCCCCCTGGGCGCGCCGCCGTACTAGGCGTTTGGGTCATAGCACGGGCCTCCGGCAGCCGTTCGGGACGATGCGGGCACCCCCGGAACGCCCTCGCCGAGACGCAGCCGCTGGAACGCATCCCGAGGCTGGAAGCCCGCCGAGAACCTCAGGAGGGAAACAAAAACACAGACACAATTAATCTTCGATTCCCCAGATAATATGGGGAAAATATGGGAAGTGGGGTGGAAGACAAAAAACCCAGAACATATTTGAAAATATAGGGAATCCTGTCATTTGTGTCTATCTATTTGTGTGTGCCAGGGCCCGTTCACCGAGACGCAGCCGCTGGAACGCATCCCGAGGCTGGGAGACCGCCGAGAGCCGGCGAGAGCGTCCGAAGGCCTCGCGCCTCGAGCCCGCAGCTTCCACCCTCGCTCGCCGCCGATATGGTGTCTGTGCTGTGTGTGGGCCCCTTGGGCCTCTCGAGCACCACGCCTGGAGCCCGGGCGCATAGCCGGATCGGCGTGCGACGCCCCACCCGGCCACCGCTGCCCCCACGTGCGACGCAGCCAGCAGTGACGTCGGGCTCTCGGCGCCCCAGACAAGCCCCATCCCCCTGGTGACGGGCCCCGAAGCGCCAGGTCCCTCTCCCCACGGAGGGGAAGCTTGCTCTCCGACGAGCCCAGCATCCACCGTCAAGGCGGAGGTCGAAGGGATAGACTACTTCGAAGAAAAAGGCGACGCCGCCCCCCCGACTCCCACGCCTCCCCCTGGCGGCGCGCCAGACGGCACGGTCGGCCCTGAGGGCTCCCCGCCTCCTCCTACGTCCGGGACAGCAGACGAAGAAGCTGGAGGCAGCCCTCCCGACGATCCGCTAGGGGCGTTCGGATCAGACGCCCGACGCCTCAGCGAGGGCCGCCTGAGCGACGCCAGCCGAGGGGTAAGGTCAGCGCCAGCCCACCGCCCATGGTGACACACGACCTCCCGCCGAGGCAACACTCACCTGCTTGCAAGCCGGAGAACAGCAGCGCCCCAGCAGCAGCGTCAGACAGTCGCTCCCCCTCCCCCCCCGGGGTGGCGCGATCGTTACTCCCAGCCAGGCATCTCCAGTCAGCCCGCCCCAGGCCCCCGGGCCCCACCCCAAACAGCTAGCTCGAGACCGCCGCTCGCCAACCCCCGCGAATGGGGCTCCAAGCGGGTCTTTGACGACCTCGTCGACCCCATCGGAGGGGGTCCCATGTACAAGGAACGGTTGGGCAATGTCGATCTCGACAAGTTTGCGGAAACACCCTCAGCCAAGATCTCCCGTCTCCAAAAGACCCTCGGGGGAGTGTTCAGCAGCATTTGGCACGCCTATACCCGCATGCACCCAGCAGGGGCCAACGGCCCAAAGAGTGACCCCGCGCTCAACCCCGAGGGCGCGTGCCGTGCTTTTCTTGACGCCTGGAACCGCTGTGGGTATGATGCCTACGTGATGGATCGCAGACTCGGGCTCCAGGTCAGATGGGAACGTGAGCGCGACAAGTGGTCAGGATACCAGGGCACCAGCGCCCTACAGCACAAGGGATACGCCACCAGCTCCCGCCAACCCTGGGTCTGGGACTCATGGTCTTGGTCGCAGGCCTGGGGCGGCGACGATTGGCAGGCAGCGGGCAAGCGTGGCGGTGACGATAGCAGTGACGGGAGAGGGGACAAGCGCTCCCGTACATGGCTATGATGCCCCACCCCCTGCGCCCCGTCGGGCCCCGCCGCGCCGCATCGCGATCACGTGCGTTTTGATGGCGCTGTGTTGGCTCCGCCGCCGGCTACCCAGCCGAACCTGCCCCGACGCACCTGACCAGAGGCCCACCCGACGCCCCAGTGGGCAGCCGACCGCAGCTAGCCTCTCCAGATGTGCAGATCTCAGGGCTGCCGGGCTCGCCGTGGCTGCGCCTTCGATTCTTCAGTTAAAATGGGGCCCGTTAGGCCAAGAGGGAACGCGGTTCGATATGATCGTTATCACCCAAAAATCGGCCCGTTTGGCTAAAGGTTTGGGTGTTTTTGTTCATACAAGTTGCAGTGGTCGCTTGCCACCCTTGGCTTGGACCTCCGACCTGTGTGTGTTCAGGGGCTTGAGCGGGGACCTCCGACGGCGGCCCCCGCTTGTATCACCTCAGACGCGACTCTCATTCTACTCGCTGTGGCCGACGTTCGACTTGCAGGCAGTGTTTCTTCCCTGGTGCCACTCCCTGCCCAGCCCCCGTTGCTCCCGGCCCTCTGGACAGGGACAACGGACTGCTGACCATCCTGACTCGTGGGTCTCCGCCGGGGCCGTGGTCCACCTGTCCCCCTCCTATGTTTCGCCCTAGACGTGTCCGCCGCAGTCCTTGCTGTGGCCGCCGATTGACTTGCAGGCAGTGCTCCTTCCCTGGTGCCTCTCCCTGCCCAGCCCCCACTGCTCCCCGCCCGTGCATGGGAACTTGAGCAGTGGCACGCTGACAATACTGACTCGTGGACTACCGCTGGGGCCGTGGTCCACGCGCCCCCTATCGGCCTCCGGCCTGCTGTAGTTGTTTTCACCCCTGGCGCGTCTTTATCCCGCGCTTCCGGGCGGGCCGCCGGGTCGGGGTGTCCCCCCCCCCCCCCTTCGGCTTGGCCTCCGCTCTCCCCGTCGGTCGGTGGTGTCGTCCCCCACCGTACTGGCTTCTCGCTTTTCCGCCCAAGTCGCGGGTTCTTCCCCTCCACGGGGCCGACGGCCGTCTATGGCACCGCTCTGGCTTCCGTGCTCCTACCACGCTGCGGTCGCATCCCTGGTCTCAGTCCCGGGTCTTCCCCGTGGTGCCGTTGCTCGACTGTCGCCACCTCCGGTGTGCTGACTTCGGGCTCGTGACCCTCTTCAGGTCTCGTGGTGCGCGCCCATCCTGGCGCC